CGCTCATATCATGTCTCAAAAAGCAATTATTAGATTTTCTTTTTTTCCTAGAGATCATATGTGTATGTGTATATATAAACATATACATATGATAAGCTTAAATGTGGATATCTTGATTATATATTATTATGTATGTATCATACAGTGTTTTTTTTAATTTATGTAATAAAACAAGCATTAAAAAAAGATGAACAAAAAGTCAAGGATTTTAAAGGAACCAATTATTAGATTTTCAGGCAAACATTTATACCTCAGAAATTAGCAAATGCTACAAATTAGGGCTTGATTTATTGTTTCTGTTGATCGTCTAGACTTAAGAAAGTGATAGAAAAAGTGTTAATAATTCAGATTAAATTTAAAAATATTTACAGCACACTTTTTGTTTTTCTAGAGATCCATTGTTAAAATCTAACAGCACTCTCCCACTTATTATACACGTTGAGCCTTGAATGTTTTTCAAATATCCTATTATCTGCTTTATTTTCCCTTCCATCAAATAAGTTCTGGAGGACATAGGCCTATCAACTGATAGTTGAAGGAGGGAGGGAGAGAGAGAAAGAGAGAGAGAGAGAGAGAGAGAGAGAGAGAGAGAGAGAGAGAGAGAGAGAGAGAGAGAGAGAGAGAGAGAAGGAAATGGCATATGAGGTAGGACGACAAAACCATCTTTTTATTTAAAATAAATATCCAATCATTGATGTGGTGTGATTGCATAGACTTCAGGAAAGTTCTTTAACCCAATAAATTCTCTCCCATCTGTTTCCATTAAGGTTTTATGCTTCAGGGTTGACCATGTAGACCAAATATACAGGTCTGTTGCCCATGTGGAAGTGGGCCTGTCCTCATCTCCAGGACCTTGGCTTCCTGATTTTTAAACCAGAGGAGTTGGAACAGAAAATCTCTTTCCAGCTCTAAATCCTATGATTCTGAAGATGAAATCAATGGACCACATGATGCTAAGGAAATTAGAAAGTCTAGTTGATGAAGAAGGCTAAATTCTAGTATAGGTTATTTTATGTAAATTAAATTCTATAGGTTAAATTGTAATCACGGGTTACTCACTGACCAGAAGGGAAGACCTGATTGGAACACTATGGTTATGAGGCTCTGAGCTCCCAGGGAATAAGCTTGAGGGCATGGAGCATTGTTGGGGCAGAGTTGTGTTTGGGGGTTGGGAGAAGTTAGAATGGGGAAAGGAGTATAGGAAGGGGTGGTGGGAGAAAACTCAAGACAAATTTTACCTGTTTGTTGACAGCTTTTCATAGAATCATAGATTTGGAGCTGGAAGCCCATCTTAAACATTTACAGATGAAGAAGCTGAGGGCTTGAATAGTTGAATGCCTACGTATAGCTTGTTTCATTCTTTCTCATTCTATTTCCAGCATCTAGCCCAGTGACTGGCCCATAGCTTGCTTAAGAAATTCTTGTTGTTTGATCGATTGCTTATCCAAAGTCAGGCGGCTCTTAGGTAGCAGAGCTAGGATTCAAATCCAAATCTTCTTATACCAAATTAAGGGTTCTTTCCACTGTATTATTTTGCTTTCAGCAGGCCCTGAATCTATTCCACTGCTTTTCAGCTGAAGAGCTAGAAAGAACTGTGCCTGTGGATAAAGTACCCTACTGCCTGATTTTTTCACCAGAGCTGAAGCACTAACTTTCTCAGTCCCTGGTTTTCTGGCAAGTAGAAATACTATCTCCAGGACACTTGGAGATGTTTCCCAAATCTGAAGAGAGGCAATCAAACTCTTGCTTTTCTTCCAAGTAATCAGGAAGGGGCAGAAGCCAAGATTCATCCTCCCCCAAATTGTGAAATAGGTGGTTTGTCTCTGCACATCTTCTTGAGTTATTCCTTCCCTTCTTCTTCAGTCCTCAGGGGGCCATCTAATCTGATGAGCCAACACATAACTTAATTCAACTCCACATTTATTAAGCACCTACTGTGTGCAAACCATTGTACTTTTTGGGTTGTTTTTGTCCCAACTTGAACTATGATTTCATTGGTTTCAGGAGCCCTCAGTGAGGAGTCATCTACCAAGGCAGATCAGCAATTGTTTGGCAACACAGTTTTAAAGAATTCTTGTGGGGGGCACTAATAAATTAAGTGATTTACCCAGGTTCATACAGACAGGATGTCTGGACATGAATCCAGGTCGTCCTGACTCCAAGGCTGACTTTCACCAGCTTTGCAAGGTTGCTCTAAATCTCTTTATTATGCCATCAGGCTGAAATCAGGGTCTTACAGATTTTAGAGCTAGAATAGAATTTAGATGTTCTTTATTCCAAGTCCTCCCTTCTCCGTTTTACAGATTGAAAGTTGAGGCTTAGGGTTGCTATTGTGACCTGTGGGAAGCCATACAGTCAGCAGGTGGCAGAGATGGGATTCAAATACAGGTTTTCTGATTTCAAGGATCATTTTACTTCGCCATGCTACTTGTAGTACATGGAGCCAGCCTTGCTGGTAGCTACGTGCCCAGGGGCCTTTGCCAACCCCTATTCCAGCCCTTGGAGGTTTCTCTGGCCAGTTTTCCTTACCCAGCAGCTGAAATGGAAAACTGCTAGGATTAATTAACTGAATGCTTTAAAAGCAGCAGGAAGCCTAGCAAATATTAAGGCATTATTACTTAGTGACCACTCATCCGGACCCCTGGAATTGTAGACTTAGTGGCCTAGAACTAAATTAATTAGAAAATACAAGCAGCTGGGCAAGGGCTCAATTACTCCCCTGGGTGTGAAGGGACTCCAGAGTAGCTTAGATGCTTTACACTGGGAGAATTTTGGCCTCCCATTAGTAACTCTGTGTCAAGGGCCTGAGCTGAGGTGTTTCAGATATGGTGGAAATGTTCCCAAGGCCATCTGTCAGGCCATTCCAAAGTGTTCTATGTAGCTAATCCTCTAGGGGCCTCACACTGGACACACATTCACATCAGCAATTGTTATACCGAGAAATGAACGAGTTGACCACCCAAGCTAATTTTAATTTGTGGACTTTATTAGCGCGCGGCTGCCAGGGATATTCACATCCAAATCAAGCAGCCCCCATCAGGGGTTGAGCTAGGGTTTATATAGGGAGTATACAGGACAGGGAGGGGGATGGATCTTTGAAGTCTGGCTGGTCAAGGACATCCTTCTCCCTCTGTGTAGATATGATAATGCTCTGCAAACTTTCCTGAGCAGCCAGATAAGGGTCTTGCTAAGGAATTTGGAGTTTTCCAGAGAATTGATCTGAGGGCTAGGACCTGAGCAGCCAGATAAGGATCTTGCTGAGGCCCATGCATGAATACTGCTAGGCACAGTGTCCTTGGGCTGGGGAGTGGTTGTTAGAGATAGTGTTTCTGAGACTAGGGAGGCATTTTGGGGCAAAAGTATAAGCACAAGCACCCGAGCACCCCATCATTACAGGTCAGGGATCACACAAACCAGACCAGATGTCCTGGTTTCTGGTATAAACATAATTATCTAAAGCCATTGTATTGCAAGTTTTCTTATCCATTTGCTTTGGAGGTATGGGCTGTGCTTAAGCCATGCAGGAGTACATTTCCCTATTGTTTAGATTTAGGAGGAAAGAGGTCTGGGGCAAGATTAAGCAGCAACTTCTGCTTTCCATTGCCTAAAGGGCCCTACTACCTAAATGGTAAAATAATGTTCTGCATTACACAATCAGGAATTCTGAAAATCATCCTCACCAAGCAGGATCCTCCCCTTTCCCCCACTCTGCCTGTGTATCCAGTCACCCCAAGCATCAGCTCTTTCCCTGGAGTCCAGGACAATTCCTATTCTTCCCTTCTGCTGGTGACCAAAGGAATTTTATGCAGTATTTAGTGCTGGTTTCCAGATCAGAATGGACTATCATATTATCACAGATATAGAACTGAAAGAGGCATCAGAGACTATCTAGCATAATAGGATTATAGATTTTCAGCTTACTTGAGTCCAACACTCTCATTTTATAGATAAGAAAAATTGAGGCCCAGGAAGGTTAAAGGATTTGCCAATAGTCTCATGGCAAAATTAAGTAAGCCAAGCCTTCTTTGTTCTTTTTCTTCCTTCAAATTAGTGGCTAACACTTTCATGCTCCCCTCCCTTTCACCCCATCCCTTTAGGGAAGAAAGAGGTCTAGTAATTACTAATAAGCTCTAAAGATCTAGAATTTTAATAGGTTTCCCGTTTAGGTGGAGTCACATAAAAACACAATTGCCTGGAGATAATGCTCCCCTCAAAGGAATGAAACTCTAATGGTAGAGCATTAAGAATCAGTAAGATATGATTATAGTATAAAGTGGTGAGGTTAATGTAATCAAAACAACATTGGACTAAGAGTAAGGGGAAAAAAGATCAAAGAATCTAGAACTGGGCGGGAACTTAGTGGTCATCCAGTCCTACCCTTTTCATTTTAGAGACTCGAGTTCTAGCTTCGCATTTCTGTAGAGTAGCAGTATGATCTGGGGACTCTTTGGGATTCAGTTTCATGTGCAAAATGAGGAAGTCAGACTAGAAGATCTCTAAGGTCCCTACCAGCTCTTCAATTCTATAAGGTAGTTGGGAAGGATCTATTCAGGATCCTTCAGATTATTACATCTGGGCATCTGCTTATTTTACCAAAGAATCTGCTTTATTCTAGAAAAATAAAGCCCTAAAATCAGGGGTTCTTCACTGAGGTCCATGAAATTTCATGGGGTCTGTGAGCTTGGGTGGGGAAAAAGTACATTTTATTTCAATATAACTGCTTTCCTTGGTAATCTCCTGCATTTTATTTTATGTATTTTAAAAAACATTATTCTAAGAAGGAGTCCAGCTGGTCAAAAGAGTCCATGAAACACACACTCACTCACACACTCACACACACACACACACACACACACACACACACACATACACATGCACACATTAACTCTGATCTAGACATTTAATTCTAGACATGAATTATACAGGACTTCCAAGACAACTCATTGAGTTTTTAAAAAAACAAAACAAAACAAAATATTATTTTTAATTTAATGCCAGCTCACAAAGAGGAAATATTCGTTTGTCACACTCACACATTTGCCTTGCTTAAAACTTCACACAGAAGCATTCCCAAGGTGCTATCAAGAGTAGAAGAATGTTCTGAAGCTTTTTCACAAAACGTATGCAATAATTGCTAACTGGTAACTCAACAGTTTTCCTGGTCAACTCTTACTTCTTTTTAAATACTTGATGGCACACTTGGTCTTCGCACATCAGCTCCTACAAATGTGAAAAATGACCAGTTAATGGGGAGCAAGCAGACTTGATTCCCTTTTGGTGCCTTGGCCAGTCTGTGACCCTTGATTTCTCAGGGGGAGTTGAAGTGAGTGACCACGGGAAAAAGAAAGACTTTCAGAAGCTTTTGTTAATGTGTATTTCACAGATCCAGTGAACCAGCACACACTGCAGGGTTGTGGTGATTAGGTTCTGACTTGGGGATTGAGCTTTTACAACTCTAAAAATGAAAAATGTATTGAAATCAAGCTCTAATGGTGGGATTGCTGATACTCTATGATTAAAACAACATGGTGTAATTTATTAGAAGTAATGAAGCAACCAAGAAGGTAGGAAATAGAGCAGCAAAAGATTTTAAAAGTGAAGGGAGAGAGAGAAGCTGCTCAACAGAGTGATGTTCCTTCACTCCATTAGGTCTTGTGTTTGTAAGGGAGCTCAACCCAATGTGGGAGGTAGATAATTAGAACTTTGCCCGGAGGAACTATTGGCAAATTTTGGATTTATGTTGCAGAAAGGTATTAAAGCCCTGCCTGTCAGCTGACAAGGACATTGGGTTTGGTTTAGATAGAGGAAAATGGGCTTTATATTACTCGTAATGACCCTTTGAAAGCGTGAGGGATATGGAATCTTAGAATCCCTGCAAACATTGGAATTGAAGGAAAAATACAACCCCTTGGGGCAGAGTTGCTTTTGCAATGTTTTTAATATGCAGCATCCCAAAAAGAAGAGAAAAAGAGAAAGGAAAACCATTTTAGAAAACCAAAAAGGAGAAAAGAAAACCATTTTAGATTTATTCCTTACTCAGCAAGCTGTGTGATACAATGCAAAGCAAATGGTACTTCTAGACCAGGGGCTATGTAAGTCATACAAAAAATGAGGCAGCCAGGTGGTGCTGACATAGAACCAGGAAAGTTCTGAGTTCAGATCCCACCACAATGACTTACTAGCTGTTTAATCCTGGCAAGTTACTTTGCCTGTCTTAGCCTTAGTTTCCTTAGCTGTAAAATGGTACTAATAACAGCATACACCTCACAGAGTTGTTGTGAGGATCAAATGAGATACAGTGAATGTAAAGCACTTTGCCAAAACTAAAGCATTTATTAATAGTTCTTCCTTTAAGAAAATTGAACTCTGAAAGGTAACACTTCAAGATTGAAACAAGAAAAAACGTGTTTGGATCATACTAAACCCACTAGTTCCCTGACAGGTACAGAGAAGGCATTGTGGTACTGGCTAATTTTTGTTTATTCAATGCCTATTTCACAATTGACTTAATTTGCATCTTGTATATACTATGTGTACTGTATGTGTACATGTTCTCTCCCCTCCCCCCAAGTTCCTCGAGGACAGGGCCTGTTTTTGCTTTTTCTTTCTATCTCTAACATTTAGCACAGTGCCTGACATACACTAAGAACTGAATAAGTGTTTGTTTATTGGTTGAATGGCTGGAGGTTTCTTTTTGAAAATAGTGCAAAAGAATTTGCCTCAACTCTTCACATAGGAAAAACCAAGCGAAGAATGAAGAATGCCTACTGTCTAGACTCCAACATACAGCTGAATGGACAATGTGTGATGCACATCCATCTTGGTGAGACAATGGTAATGGATACTGAGGCAGGCTGGATTGTACAGGAGGATAAATAGCTTGAATGACCTTTGGGAGATCGCCAAATTCTTATGGTGATCCTAAGTTTTTTCCTGAAACAAAGACTCATCTTTTCAATACCAATATTCTTTAGATTACTGTGGAATAATATAGAAGGGAAGTTGAGTCACCCCAAAACCTCGATAAACAATGGAGCAGCACATGTAGAACATTACATGTAAAGAATTATACAGGAGAACTGATGTAATGGTTGTCACCAGAGAAATACATGACTGTAAAAAAAAAGATGGATTGATCACATAGTGAGAATGAGGGATGTCTGGATGGCCCAGGTACTCCTTTGGAAATCATAGCATGGTGTTGGATCAGAGAACTTTCCATGGAGCTTGGCCCCTTCTGAGCACACATCCTTTAAAAAGAGACCAGAGCTCATGTATCATCAAAAGGGTCCAACTCCAATCCAACACCCGTGCTACACAATGTTAACATGATTCAATGAAATGTTCCCTAGTATGTTGGGTTGACCTAGCTAAATCAAATGTATGGGAAGATACTGATGAGGACAATAGCGAGTATTCATTTAGCACTTTAAAGTTTGCTAAACACTTTGCATAGACTGTGTTGTTTTATCTTCACAACAACTCCGGAGAGTTTGTGTTATTATTTATCCCAATTTCAGTTGAAAAAACTGAGGCAGGCAGAAGTGACCTGCCCAGAGTTACAAAACTAGTGCCTGAGGCTGGATTTGAACTTAGGTCTTCATGACTCTAGATCTAGTACTCTCTCCCACTGAACCATCAACCTGGATAGATGCACACATGTAATGTGAATGTAATGTGTAATGTAATGTGAATCAATGGAGACAGACCAGTGCTTAACAAAGTGCTTTCCTCATAGTATGGGGCTTAATAAATAAATACTTGCAGGATTATATAAATTGCTGACGGTAGAAGCTGTTTATTGGCATCATATGTTTCAAGTTTTTGATATTTTAAAACTGTTATGATAGAATTTGGGAAGACCATTAATTGGGGGAAATTTGAATGAGGCATCAAAGAGAACCTGCAGGGCTGAGTAGAGTCATCATTCTGAGCCAAGGCTTAAGAACAGCAGGGCCCTGGTCGTATCGGTCATCTGCACTCCACAACAAAACTGAATGTTGAAAACAGTTCAAAGAGGAAAATAGGTAGAATGGAAGGTCCAAACCAATGCAAAGGCTTTCTAAAAGGAAATCCTTGGGCTTCTCCTATAATGGTGTCTACCCTCAAGGTCACACATCTACTAGTGAGGCTAGGCCCAAATGCTAGCCTAGACCCACAGGTAAGAAACAAAGTTTTCTGAAGAATATAGATGTTTGAGACAGGGAAGAGTAAGAAATTAGTAAAGGCTGAGTACCCCTTAAGTGGTGTCATCAGTGTCATTTTGTACCTAAGCTTAAGTCAAATTAGGATGTGAGATCTATACTTTTGTCAGTTTACATGCCATTTAAATTTAATTTGTCTTCCAAGAAAGTTCCTTTTGAGACATTCTGACATTTTCTCAGCTTAATGAAAAAAGAGAAGGCTTTGTCCATACCTAGGCCAAGAGAGCCAGGGAAGCATAGTAGCCTTGAAGATCAGGTCTGAGTGGTGGAAGCAGCTATACCAGTCCCTTGGATAAAATTATGGAAGTGGAGAGAACTTCAGAGAAGCAAAAGTGAATGGCATAGTGATGGTTGTGATTGTCACTACTTTTTCACTGTCACTCAGTCTATATCAAACTCATTCAGTCTATCACATTGAATTGGAAAGAAGGGACAATTGAATTAATCAACCAGATTCTGGATTCTCAGGATACTAGCAGCTATTTTCTACATTTTAATTTTTCCATTACTAAATTGACTAGATGCTTTATGATGTGTAGATATAGCTTCTCTCTGACCAAGAAAATTTCAAAATTCTTACTTACAGGGTACATTTATTTGTTTTTTCAGTTGTTTTCAATCCTGTCTGACTCTTTGTGACCCTATTTGGGGTTTACCTTGGCAAAGGTACTAGACTGGTTTGCCGTTTCTTTCTCCATCTCATTTTACAGATGAGGAAATTGAGGCAAATAAGGTGAAACAACTTGCCCAGGTCACACAGCTAGTAAGTATCAGAGGCCAGATTTGAACTTAGAAAGATGAGTCTTCCTGACTCTAGGCCTGGCACTCTATCCACTGTGCCATGTAGCTGCCCACTTATAGACCATACATCCTTCCATATCCTATGGTGATTTCCCAACTCTCTCCTTCTTTCTAGCTCTGTTTCTAATTTGTTGCATAACTTTACATAAGTCACTCTGCTTTTGAGCCTTAGTTTCCCTCATTTGTAAAATGAGGGGGGTGCATGTCTAAGATTCTTTGTCTAAATGTTGGTGACTCTGATTCTCTTTTCTCTTCCTGCTTTTGATCTCTCTTTTCCAGACAGCAGGATATTTCTGTCAGTTCTCCTCAGACTTGCCTTAGCTCCATATTCATTTCTCTCCCAGTTCCAGATGGTCTTTTGCAGGTTCCTTGCTCTTCTTCTTGAATCTTAGATTCCTAATTCAGCATTTAAGGCTTTAAAAAGAATGCAACAGTTCACAGAAGCTGCCATCGAGATTGTTTCCTTGATTCCCCTGGGCAAGGTGGAAATGGCTTTCTGGTCTGTGTGATGATGCACCTTTGGCTGCAACTCAAGACAGTAGAGTGGGGCTGTTTTTTTTCTTGTTGAGGAGTCTCGTCGGGTGAAACACTGTGGTTTATTTTTGAAAAAATAGGGGACAGTGAATGGAAACCAACTCTTACCGAGTGAAGTTTTCCTCCTTCAATCCACATCTTCCACCCTCGGTTTTTCTTCTCTCCCTTCTGCACACACACGAGTTTATCCCCATCCCAGGTCACCAGAGTCTGTAAGAGTCAGAGAGTCAGGATAAGAAGGCCTAGGAGGACAAACTAGGCAAGATGACTGCTAAAATTCTTCTAAGATATTTCAGTAATTCCTTCTTATCACTGTCTTCCTTGCCTGCTGGATAAAGTTTAGACTTTAGGTGCTTAAGACCCTGACATTCTAAACCTTCTTTCCTACTATCCTACTACACATACCCTAGTCAAATTGGTCTAAATACTGTCTCTCCTACTCCCTTCCACACATCAGGGATTTTATCAATTCTATCTAGTCTCTGTGATTTTGTTCAATATTCTCCCCATATTCAATCCCTTACCTTTCCTTTCTACCTATAATGAATGCAAAGGGTCATAGAGTTAGAGGTACAAGAGACCTTAGATGTCATCTTGCCCAACTTCATGTTACAGATGAATAAACTGAGGCCCATAGAGGTTAAATGACTTATCTAAGATCATAAAGGTAGTAAGCATCAAAATCAAGATTTGAATCCAGGTCAGCACTCTTTCTATTAGTTTGCTCCTTTAAATCCTATCTGACCTTCAAGGCTCAGCTGAAGGTCTACCTTCGCCATGAGAAACATCCTCAACCTTCCATCCACCATGATGTCTCCTTTCAGTAGATCAGTATCTGCTACAACCCTCATTGTCTGTACCTTATTGTCTATGAGAGGCAGTGTGGCATAGTGTGTAGATGACTATACCCAGAGTTGGGTTCAAATCCTTCTTCACACACTTATTAGCTGGGAGAACCTGTGTAAGTCATTTATATACTCTCTAACCTTAGTTTCCTCATCTATAAAATGTGGATAATGATAGCACCTACCTCATAGGCTTGTCGTTAGCATCAAATGAGATAATAAGTATAAAGCACTTAGCAGATGTTACTGTGCTATGTAATATAGATCTAGAGATGGAAGCAATCTCAGAGGATATTTAATCCAACACCTTCCTTTGACATAAAAGGAAACAGAGTCCCAGGGAGTCTCAGGCAATTGCCTAAGGTGACACAGGCAGTAAGTGTCAGGCAGGATTTGCATCCAGGATCTCTGATTCCAGAGTCATGAGGTACACCCGTGGGACAATCAAGATGTGAGGCATTGTTATTATTGCCACTTATATAGCATATATCATGAATCATATTATCTTTTCACATGTGGTTATTATCTAATGAGCTATATTGCAAGCTCCTTCAGGGAAAGAGTGCGTAATCAATTTTTTTTTCATCCTCAACCCACACTCAATTACAACCCAGACCTTACAAATGGTAGAATTTCTATATGTACTGGTGACTTTGTTGAAATGGTATTTTATATAAAAAATAGTCTATATTATTTGAACTTCTCCAATAATAATATTCAATAATGATAGTCATTTTCAATAAGGAGACTGCCATCACTTACTATTTCAAGAATCCAAACTAGAATGGTCAGTTTTGAAGTCATTCTAACCGGAAAGTAATTGGGTATCAATGAATCACAAGAGTAACTGCAACATTATTACCTTTCCTCTAATGTGAAACAGACAGCAGGAGGGAGGCTAAGAAACTCTTTTAATAACATTCAATATACCACCATTCAATTCATTTTTATATGGCACCCTTCATCTCCCATATCACAGAACACTTGAAAGAGACTCAATTATCTTCAAAAGAGCAGATGGGAAAGGAGGTTATAAACAGAGATGGAAGTCAGAATCTTGCAGGAAGAAGATAAAGGAAAATCATTCCAAATAGAGAGCACACAGGGAGCTGGCTTCACACGTAGTCAGAGTGGGTGACTGCCTACATATGCAATTTGAAGGGTTCCAGGAAAGGCATCCTTCCTCAAAATCTCTCTCCACTGTCCTGTTGGCGTGCCTAAAATCTCCACCACTAAATGTATTCATTTGTATTAAGGAAATGGAGAAAATGCACACCCACCTGGAAAGGGAACAGATGTCTAGCCATTATTTGACATTAACACATTAGGGAAAATTAGGTCACAAGATTATCAAGTCACTTAGCAAGGTCTTGAGGGAAAGGAATAAAGGAAAATGACTATATTTGGATGGAGAATAAGATAAAGTAAAGATCTGGGACACGGAAAATTGTTCGGAAGACAAGCATGAGTAGGGCACTGCCATTAGGTGCCCTGGGCAGCATGAAGGTAGGCACTGAATATCTGTGCAGAAGGAGGAAAATTGATATTAAAAAGAAATGGAAAAAGAGACACCGTAACCAAATTGTTTTACTTTTCAGTTTGTCCTGGGACTGATTTTAAAGTACTTAAAAAACTGGTACTATGGAGAATAGGGTAGAAATATATTACCAATTTGTGGTTGCTGTTAAGCCTATAAATGTGAATACTAGGCCCTATAACTGGCACCAAATACAAGGTCTCTAGTTTGCTCTGTGACTTCAACATATGCTGAATGACGAAAGGAATGAGGAGAATAGGGAGAAGATCATTACTGGAAGACTGGGCAGAACTGGAGGAGATGAAGTCATTCAAATCAAACCAAAAGGAGGCTGAGAGATACTGCTACTACAACTGCGAGTGAATTGTTTGAAAGAGAATCAGTGAAGGTGGAGAAGGGCCCAAGAAGGATGACATTAGGCAGTGTGCCGGAGAAGAAAGCTCTCTAGGTGGAAATCAGAAGACCTCCATTTGGATCCCATCTTTGCTCTTTATTATCTCTGGAAACTTGGCAAGTCACTTAAAGTCCATGGGTCTCAGTTTCCTCACATACAAAAAGAAAGGGCTGAATTGGAAGGTCTATAAGTTTCCTGTCAGCTCTCAATGATCCTATGACTTTAGAATGCAACAGAAGAACACTTAGGTTAGGGATAAAGAAACCCTTTCTAATAGTAAAGTTTCTCAAGCCTTAGAATAGGTTTAATAAGAAAAGCAATTAAAAAATTCACATCGATATAGCAATCTAAGGGTTATAAAGCATTTTCTTCACAACAGCCCTGTGAGGTAAGCTGTACAAGTTTCATCCCTGTTTTATAGATGAGGAAACTGAGGCTCAAAATAGCAAAATGACTTTGCCCAGGGTCACATGGCTAATAATAAGTGTTGGAAACAGGATTCAAACCCAGGTGTCCTGAGTGCAAGTGCAGTGTTCTTCCAATACACTATGCTCCCCCTACAAGGAAGATTCTGAAAAAAATATTTTTTTTTGAGAGAGAGAACCAAATGTCTCTCTGCAATGGTATAGCTCAGTGCTTCCCCAACATTTTCATTTTGTGACACCACTGCTCAAAGGGATGCTCTGATCTACTTCCCCCCAGGCTCCTTGTGTGTGTGTGTGTGTGTGTGTGTGCTGGGGTAAACAGATACATACACATACACACACACATACACATTCACACTTACAAAACACTTTAAGGTTGACAATGTACTTTCCTCACAGCAAACTCTGTGAGATAGTATGATTAAACCATGTTTTACAGATGAGGAAACTGAGGCTAAGGCATCTGTACTGATTTGCCCAGGGACATAAAGCTAGTAAATATTGAAACTAACATTCAACCCCAGTTCTCCTGACTCCAAACTTGATGTTAAGTTCCATTCTTTTATGCTTTCTATCATACAATGCACAAGACAAAGATATACACACCATTTAGGTAACCAGTCACTCAGACTCCAAATGTGTAAGGGCAGTCCTGTCAATACCATGTAAAACTCTATTTCTTCATTCTCTCCCTCCAATATTCTTTATGCCTAGATGCATGCATGCATTTTGTATGGCATGGTGGATAGAGTGCTGGGCTCATAAGCATGAAGACCTGGGTTCAAATCCCACTTCTGACACTTAAATCTCTATAGGATCATAGCTTTAGAGCTGGAATGGACCTCTGAGGGCATTTAGTCCAACTTCTTCATTTTGCGGATGAGGATACTAAGGCTTAGAGAGGTCACATGACTTGCCCATGGTCGCACAACTAATAGGCACCTTAGGTTAAATTTGATCCTAGGTCTTCCTACCACCAAGTCCAGTACTTTCTCCGCTACACCAAACAATATGATGCTACTGAGCAAGTCACTTAACATTTACGTGCCTCAGGCAACTCCCTAATACTTGTCTATTAATCATGTTCATATAATGTCTCCATCAGAAATGTATTTCAGTGGGTAGACAGATGGGCTCAGAATCAGGAAAATCTAGACTTGACCTCTCAGTGACCCCAAGCAAATCTCTTAGACATAAGTTGCAGAAGAATTGGTAGAGTTCCCTCACTGGCACTTTCCTACAATAAAATCATCAGTATGATTAAAAGTAATACATAATAATTCTGTGTTATATAAATATATACAATATAATTTTATATGTTATATTTAATGTGTATGGATTTATATATACATATACATGTATACTGGAGAAAGAAATGGCAAGCCACTCCAATATCTTTGACTGGGAAACCCCATGGACAGTAATCCATGGGGTTATGAAGAGTTGGACATGATTAAGAAACTAAACAACAAATGTGTATATACTCATAGATATACATACATGTGTATATATACATATGCATATATACGTATGTGTACACACAGATATACATAGAAGTATACCACTCTGCTCCCAAGTTTGAGAATCTGTTTTTGAAATAAAGAGGCTTATAACATCTTTGAGGATCCTTTCAGGTAGAGCACTCTGATAAAAAGTGGATAAAATTGGATGGGGAATGATGGTAGGAAGAATCCAGACCTTTGCCCAGGGGGCTCTTGTAGAATCCTACAAATCCCATCTTGTCTCTAACCTAGCTTCCCCTACCCCCACCCCCTTTTCTGGTTGTTGTAGCCAAAATTGAGGAGATACTGCAAAGGGAGTTTCATATGTTTGACAGGATTAGCAGCTGATATTAAGGGTGGACAAGATTTAAAGGGAAGAGAGTCTATTAAGGACTGAGGAAGAGGCAGGATGGCTATGAACAGATGGGATACTCTCACCATCAGCAAAAAATTGGGGAAAATTGATTATGCTGAGAGAAATGAAGAGTCTCTGTGCCATAAGAGGTCATAAAAGAATAAAGCTAGAGAACTATCCTGATTTCTAGTGAGGAGACAGCCAGATCTGAAGAGGAATGGAAGTGAATTAAATGATGTACAATATTCATTTTGAGCTGACATTAGAACAGAAGAATGGTGCAAATACGCTGGCAAATTTTGGCATTAGTTCTGATTTCTGATGAATTAGCTTTCAGTCTTTATAACACAGTAACTCCTCACCTATCCAACACCGTAGGAAAATAATGTGTCGTACAGAAAGGAATTTAAAAAAAAAAAAGAAAAAAAGGAAGCTTATGCTTTTTTATTTGTTTGTTTTAGCCTTCTTAAACAGAATCCACTAAACAAAATAGAGCTTTTCCTTGATGACTCAGGATCTCATCACTTGTGTTTTAGCAAAAGCAGACTCCCATGTTTGGCACATACTTCTTCCTCACCTACACCTGTTAGAAACATTAGGCTCCTTCAACTCTCAGCTTAGATGTTCCCTCCTAGTTGCGTACTCTCCCTCCTGGAATTACTTTGTGTTACTTTTTATCTCCTTTGTGCTTGTGTACATGTATATCCTCCTAATAATATAATATATTAACATCATAATAATAACATACTCCTGCAAGGGAGGGACTGTTTCATTTTTGTCTTTGAATCCTCTGGGCCTTGCATGCAGGAGGTACTTAACAAAGATTTGTTGAATTGACATGTTTGGTGAATCAAAATGGATCTCAGTCATTTCTCCATGATGTACATAATATTATATGATGCTTTCTGAGACTATTAAGATCCATAGAGACATTTACTCCTACAGCAAATGAATGGTCATAGACTGCTGTGTTTTTTATACTTCATTTCTGTCCCTTCCACATGCTGCACCATGTCGCTGCATACTTTATATGACCATGTTTTACACATGATCATATGGGTAAAGTCCTCTGCCTCACCTACAGTGAAAAGGGTAAGGATTTTATTACCATTATATGCCATTCTGAGACTTTCTTTGGTTATTTGAGTTATTTTGAGGGTCTCAGCTCTGATGGCAGAAAACAGTACTAATGTGCCCTTGGAATAAGTAGCTAATTTATTTATAGATATACACATATGCACATATGCATATTATGTATTAATACACACATATCCCCACATAATAATCCTAATAATATGAGAGCATATAATATACACATGTATATACATACATACACATATATGTGTGCATATATGTGTGTGTAAAGATGGATACATATTTCTTGTTGTCCTTGTTCAGTTGTGTCCCATTCTTCCTGATCCCATGTGATGTTTTCTTGACAAAGATACTGGAGTACTTTGCCATTTCCTTCTCCAGCTCATTTTACAGATGAGGAAACGGAGGCAAACAGGATTATGTGACTTGCCCAGGGTCATATAGCTAATAAGTGTCTGAGGTCAGATTTGAACCCAGGAAGATGAGTCTTTCTGATTCCAGGTTCACTGCCACCTGGCTACTTATTATATGCTGGACACTGTGCTAAGAGCTTTATAGTTTTGATTTCATTTGATTCTCATAAACCTGTGATGTAGGAACTGTCATTATCCCTATTTTACAGATGAGAAAACACTTGCCCAGCGTCACACAGTTAATAAATGCTTGAGGCTAGATTTGGACTCAGATCTTCCTGATTCCAGGCCCAGAACTCTACCTACTGCATCCCCTAGTTGTTTTTATATATATGTGCATTGTGTACACGTGCATGTATACGTTTATGTATATGCATAGATACACACACATATGTGTACACATGTATATACACACATGTACTTCTATAATCTAAAAATAATTTGAGAACTTAGAGCTTGCTTTTTAATATATGACCCACTTTTGCAAGGGCAACACAGTTCATTCATAGCAAAAAGGGAAAGCTTCATCTTCCCCTGTTCATTGCTAGCCAGCACCATAAAGCTCTGCTTTCTTCGCCCCCAGCTCTCCTAGTTGCTCATGTTATTTTTCCATCGTGTACCAGAATAGCTTGCCCTTGTATTAAATGCTGTATGAAATGCAAAATCAAAGCCCAGGCCAGTACCTTAACATGTCTATCATCCAGTCCTTTAGTGTGCTCATCAAATTCAACTCCAACAACGAAATCCGATTCATAGCTCCGGAATGAGCTACTTGTTTTTATCTTGAAGTCATCACCATCTTGAGTGATTATCTTTGTCTGACTTAGGAGCTTGGCAATCTTGCGGATAGCAAAATCAATATCTGTTGGCAAAGAGAGTCACTGAGTTTATGATGCTCTAAGTTAGACTCATTCATTTCTTTAACAAGACCAAACAGTCAACATCTATGAGATAAAGATCTTAGTCAGGCATCTTTCCATTATTTATATGTTAATTAAGAGCTGTGCTTTACATAAAGGGGTTGGGGGATGGTGGTAGTGGAGATAAACTCTACTTTCTCAGTGTCTAGAATGAGGAGTGAAGTTCCTGCAGCTGGGAACAAGATGTTCACCAGTTCTGTTTCTCTTAACACATCCATTCTGAAGCAAATTGGATGGGTTTTTTGTTTGTTTGTTTGTTTTTGTATTATTATTATTTTTTTAAAATTTTTAGGCAGTTGGGGTTAAGTGATTTGCCCAGGGTCACAGCTAGTGTCAAGGGTTTGGTCTGAGGCCGAATTTGAACTCAGGTCCTCCTGATTTCAGGGCCAGTGCTCTATCTACTGTACCACCTAGCTGCCCCCAAATTGGATGTTTTGCATAAAATAGTGAATAGAGGGAGCTCAGGGCCAGGAAGACCAAGATTCAAGCCTTATTTCTGACACATACTGGCTGTGTGACCCTGAGCAAGTACATGAACCTCTCAGTGCTCTAGGTAATTCTAAGATTTAGAGAAGGTGTCAACCTGCATTGGTAAAAGGAGTTTCCTCACCTGGGAGTTTCCAGTACCAATGAAATCAAAGGTCCCGTACTTCCTCAGAGTCTTGTACATAGTAAGCACTTAAATGTTTTACTGATCTCCTCTCTCTTCTCTCTGTCTCTTTGCCTCTCTTCTTTCTGTCTCTGTCACTGTCTTCTCTGTCTCCATCTCTCTTCTCTGATTCTGTTTGTCTCTCTATCTCTTTCCTCTCTGTCTCTGTCTCTCTCTGACTCTCCCTAACCAATTTAGTGAAGATGTTTTGCATTGTTTATTTGATTTTTAGGCAATTTGTGTTAAGTGACTTGCCCAGGGTCACACAGCTAGTAAGTGTCAAGTGTTTGGTCTGAGGCCAGATTTGAACTCAGGTCCTTTTGACTTCAGGGCCGGTGCTCTATCCATTACACCACCTAGCTGCCCCAATGTTCTGCATTGTTAATAGATCATTATGACAGTAGCATACATAGCAGGCACTGAATAATCAGTTTATTTATGTAGTGGTGATTCTTAGTAAATGAAAGTGTATTTGCATTTCCAAAAGTACATATAAAATCTACAAGTCTTGCAATTTTTACCAGGCAGTCAAGTTAACCCAGAACTTAGGCCAATATCCCTGGTCATAATAAGGTTTTAATCCCCCATCCCAGAGCTGCCATTAATTAGTCAATCACTCTATAAGTATTTATTAAACACCTGCTATATGTCAGACATTGTGCTAAGTACTGGAAATACAAAGAAAGGAAAAAGATAGTCCCTGCCCTCATGAGGTCGTAATTTAATGGAGGAGAGGACATGAAAAGAACTGTACAAACAAGTCATGCACAGGATAAGGAGGAAATAATCAACAGAAGAAAAGAAGACACTAGAATTAAGGCTTTTTATAGAAGGTAAGGTTTTAGCTGGAACTTCAAGGAAGCCAGGAAAGCCCAGGAAGCAGAGATGAAGAGGGAAAACATTCCAGGCATGAGGGACAACCAGGGAAAATGCTAGCAGCTGAGAGAGTGTCTTGTTTTAGGAACAGCAAGGTGGCCAATATTCCCATTAGAAATAGAGGATAGTTTATAAGTTGTTTATTGTTCTTCTCTTGCTGTAGATTTAGTTAGAATTTGGTCTCTAGCCAAATATAACTGTTTAGCCATATTTGCTATAGCAAATACTTATAAATATAGACTACATGAATGAATTGTTTAAGAATATTTAACTAACACATAAAACCTCCAAGCTTTCTTAAAAATAACTGCCTGACACTAGGAATATTGTTCATATAGTATGAACAATAATGATTATGATAAAAATAAGAAGAGTTTGGATTTTTAAAGTTATTTTTCTCTGAGACACTAGAATACTATATCAATACCCTCTTGTTATACATTACTATGTTTCGTCTGGTAATAGATAAAATATTATCATCCATTTTAGACATTGAGAAACTGAGGAAATAGTTTAACATCTGAAAACATTTCATGCAACCCTGTGTAGTTCTGACAAAATATTCCTCATCATCTTTCTTTGTCTCATCTTCCATTATTTCTTTACATCAAATTATTTACTCTTTTTCTTAATTTCAGAAGATCATAGAATTTTGAGCTGCAAGGAGCCTGAGAGATCATTGAGTCTAACCACTCAACAACAAAAAAATTCTTTTTTTTAAAAATATTCTTTAAGGTGAGGAAACTAAGATGAAATAACTTGGCTAAGTTCACACAAGTAGTGAGTAGAAGAAATTAATTTGATCCTAAGACCTCTGACACTATACCAATTGTGCTTTCTTTGATAACTTCAGTAAAGCTAGAAGAAACCTCAGATATCAGGCAGTCAATCTCTGCATTTTTTTTTGTTCAGTTATTTTCAGTCATGTCTGACTCTTCACAAGTCCATTTGGGGTTTTCTTGGCAGAAATACTGGAGTGGTTTGTCATTTCCTTCTCCAGCTCATTTTACAGATGAGGAAACGAAGGCAAGCAAAGCTAAGTGACTTGCCCAGGATCATACAGCTAGTGTCTAAGGACAGATATGAACTTAGGTCTTCTTGACTCCAGGCCCAGTACTCTATCGACCACGCTACCTAATTGCCCCCTCTTCATTTTATAGATGAGAAAATGGAGGCTCAGAGAGATTATTTCCCCAAAGTGGAAGACAAGATAGTAAGTGGTAGAGCTCAAATTAGAACCTAGTTCTTCCATCTTCAAGTCCAGGGTTGATTGCACTGAACCTCATTTCCTCATGTTGAGGGGTAATAACAGCAAAGAATAGAAAGGATAGGTCATACAAACAATTGTAAAGGTCTTGAATGCCAAGGTATTCTGTAGACAATGATGAGCTAGTGAAAATTTTAAGTAGGGGTATAACATGATGATAGTGCTACTGGAGGATGATTAATCTGGCCATGATATAGGATTGTAGAACAAGAAACTCAAAGTAGGGAGGAGACAAGTTAGAGGGTGAGCCTAATAGTCCAGACATGAAATAGATAAGAGTCTAAACTAGGTTGGTAGAAACAAGAATGGAAAGGGAATGATAGATTGAAGACATATGGCATCATGGAAAGCCATATCTCTAAAGCCTTCATTTTATGTATCTAAAAGCTGAAGATCAGGTAAACTAAGTAACCTGTTGAAGGTCAACCAGGAAGAATGGACAGGACTTGGGTAACTAGTTGGACAAAGCAGAAAAAGCCAAGGGTAAAAGATGACAAGTTTTATGCCTAGATTCTCTTACTTAGGAAAATGATAGAATAATTGACAGGACAGGGAAGTCAAAAGAGGGAATGGGCTTTGTATGGTATTAGATACATTAAGTTTTAGGAGATAGAGAAACATTTATTATAAAATACCTGGCAAACAGAGAAATGGAAGTAGAGCTCAGAGAATGACCAGGGCTGGGAGATGGAACTGGTGAGAAGAGCAGAACTGGAAAAACTTGTCATAATAAAAATTTGATGATTATTTATTAAGGAACTCTAGAAACATTTAAGGAAATGTCTCTGATTTTTGAGATTAATGTTAGAGAAAATTACTTTGTCCTTGGTGGTAGGAGCAATATATACATTTAGGCTAGGCGAGTTTTTCTGTAAGAGATATTGAAACTGTCATCAAGACTTATATGGTTTAGATTATCTTAGGAAAGAATAATTAGGTATACACAATTATACAGAAGTAAGCTAGAGAATAAGGTGAGACTTTTCCTCCAATCTACTGAATGTCATGCCTATCCTTATTGTCTGTTATCAAAATAAAAGCCATAAAATTATTGGTGGCTTATGGCATATATTCTCTGGTAGGCTCATATACCAACCAGCAACAATTGGGGCATCTTTATCTGAATAGTAATCAACCTTGGTGACATCTAAAAAAAAATGATCAGAAAAAAATACTGTGTGTGACAGTGGAGGGGTGAAGAGTAGTAATGAAACATCCTGGGAAGCATTTCAATAAACCCAAATGATTAATGTTGGATGGAGACGTTGGTAAGGAGTCTCTATTAGTAACACATGTCTATCTCTTTCCTCTCTATCTCTGTCTCTCTCTGTCTCTCCCTAATCAATTTAGTGAAGATGTTCAGGCTACCAATGCCAGCTGGGGCCATTGATATAGCTTCCTAGTAGTGTAAGTGCAAAAAGCCAGAACAAGAGGAGTCAGTAGCTCATCCCTCAGGCTGCTGACCAGCAGACCAAGATGGCTACGTGAAAGAACGGTGTATCCTTTTTGAATATCCTTTCTCTGCTGTGGCAAAGTAAACCTCCTCTTGTTAATGGTAAGGTGATCTACAAGTGAATAGAGCACCAGACCTGGAGTCAGGAGGACCCGAGTTCAAATCTTTCCTTAGACAGTTACTAGCTGTATAACTCTAGGCAAGTCACTTAACCCTGTTTGCCTCAGTTTCCACATCTGTAAAATGAACTGGAGAAGGAAATGGCAAACCACTCTAATACTTTTGCCAAGAAAACCCCAAGTGGGGTCACAAAGAGTTGGACATGATTGAAAAATGACTAAACAACAAGATCTACAAGTGTCTTATTTCATTCCAATTTTTAACCTGGAACACCAGACTAGCCTCCATCAGGCCTGACCTACAACATTTTCCCACAATAAGTATGTTGATTCTCCCATAAGAAACCATATCATAGACTGGCTGGACCATGGCTCTGATTCCATATAACATGTTGGATCTTCTAACACTACAGCTTTAGAATAGTTCTAGAGAAGTTTTGGAATTATTCTTGAACAGTAATTGGATTTGCTCTACTCTTAAATGTGTCGAAACTTAAAGATACACTGTCTCAGGTTATGTACCTCCTCTGTCTCGTTGAGATATGAGCATCTTTATTATCTGTCCCTCCCCCCATCGC